TAGTAGTAGTAGTAGTAGTAGTAGTAGTAGTAGTAGTAGTAGTAGTACTAGTGTGTGAACTCTCCCATGTGAACTCTCCCATAGTCCTTTAGCAATGATGATTAGCTTTTGACATGTTGACTTGTTATTGGGTATGCCACCTGTACAAACAGGGTCTCAAGTCGATTTTCATGATATTGCACAAATAAATTTGGCCTTTCACCTGTACACTTGTGCGGCTTTGTTCACCCTATTTCGTGCTCCCTGTTCTTCAGTACTTTTTTTTTTTGTAAACATACACCCAAATTACTTTATTGTGCTTTTGCTCGCTACACATAGTCTATATACATATACCCACACACACAAATACATACAGATCGGGCGAGCACTCGCTTGTGCACTTGAAATTTACCTCGCTTGTGCACTTGAAATTTACCTCGCTTGTGCACTTGTACGATGACGATGACGAATGCTACTACTACTACTACTACTACCACTACCACTTCTAGTACCACTGCATCTTTCTACTGCTACAAATGCGATGTTGACGACGACCACTACTACTCTTCTACTCTTCCAGTACTACTACTACTACTACTATTACTACTACTACTACTACTACTACTACTGCTACTGCTACTGCTACTGCTGCTGCTGCTGCTCCTGCTCCTGCTACTGCTACTGCTACTGCTACTGCTACTGCTACTGCTACTGCTACTACTAGTACTACTACTACTACTACTACTACTACTATTACTATTACTACCAGGACCAGCACCACCACCGTGTATAGGCTGATGCCGAACCGATGCCCCAACCGATGCTGCGGAGTGACAAAAGGATCCCTGGTAAACATAAGTAAGGTACGTTAGTGGTTCGAATGACCGGAAGGAACACCCAAGCCCGATCCATGTTGACACCCCACCCAACCCCACCCCACCCGAAGGTAAGATGTGATGATGTGGCCGCGTGGGCCAATCATTCCATTAGATCCCCCCCCACCCCCTGAAAAGTAGAGCCTACCTGTACAGGGTTCCACTCCAACAGCTGATATAGTGTGTCCATGCTTGACTGCTTCAAGGCTCAAGAAAGAGTGGCTCAAGGCTCAAAGAGCAAGAGGATAAGACTCTGCGCATAAAAGACACTAGCGGTCTGCACCTCTACCGTGTACGCCCTAGTCACTCTTTCAGTGGTAGCGGAGCAGTGATCCTGGAAGACCCAGGTGAGCTCCTTTCCTAGGCATAGAATTGCTAGTGGGCAAACAGCCATGGATTGGATAGACGACTGGGAAGAGCCTGATGCGGATGTGGCTTATGAGCCAGCAGCCTACGTGAATAGGCATGTGAGAAGAGAACCAGCAGCAATAGCAATGACAACACAGGTCACTACAAAGGTGCCCCCATCTTATGATGGAAAGACTTCATGGTTTTCCTATGAGGATGCCATAGACGATTGGTGTGATATCACCGAGCTGGAAGATGAGAAGAGAGGACCAGCTTTGAGAAACAGATTAGAAGGAGAAGCAGCAGTATACAAACGTGTATTAGACAGAGATTCATTGAAGGCTAATGAGCCACCAGGAGCAGGAGTAGATTACTTCAAACGAGTACTACGACCATATTTCGTGAAAGGATCAACCAATGTATTCCTATACAGGTTTATGCAATTCGTGCGATTCAATCGAGGATCAGCCGACATGATGAAATGGATGACAAGATTCCAGATTTTACTCCAAAGGCTTATGAGCAGTTGGATGGACATGTTAGAACCAGTCACTCAAGCACATCCCCAAGTCCTTGCTCAGATGCAGGCAGATGCAGCGTTGACTGGAGTAGCACCAACGGCAGAAAGGATTCAGGAAATCATGCAGAATGTCAATGGCAATATGAGAATTCTTCATCAGAATGATTTTCCTTTAGGAGAGAATCTCATTGCCCTACTCATGCTGTCCCTTGCAGATTTGTCTCAGGACCAGCGAAACACTTTGACTTCGTTGATGACTCATCGTGGCAGGTACCTGCAGCAATACACTACAACAGAGCTGAGGACAGTTTTCATCGAGATGTTCTGCACGACAAAGACTTCAGTAAACAATCCATTGATGCAGCCGACAGGTGCTGGAGGTAGAAGATCATTTCTCGTACTAGACGAAGGAGAACTCGATGGTACATTTGGCTATTGGGCCGAAGATGAAGAAGATGGAACTGAAGGATTTTTAGATGCCCTGGACGATGTCTTTTGGGTATATGATGATCAAAACTTCTCGTGGTTCCAAAGGAGATTCCAAGGAAGAAGAGCCAGAAAAGGCAAAGGAAAAGGTAGAAGAAAAGGAAAAGGAAAAGGAAGATCAGGCCGTAGATTCTTCAGACCTCGTGGAAAAGGAAAAGGAAAGAGACGAGGTAAAGGCCATTTTGCTGATGAGCAACAGACAACTTTTCCAGATGAATACCTTGAAGAGAATCCTTATGAGGACACTTGGGAGTCAACCCAAGGAGCATATGATGCCATTCTTGCCGAGGATATGAATGACTATCTTCAAGGAGAATATGATGATGCCAATGACTTTTGGCAACAGCTTGAAGAAGCATGGTTTTCCCACAAAGGAAAAGGAAAAGGCAAGAGAAAAGGCAAGAAAGGAAAAGGAAAAGATAAAGGAGATGGCAAACAAGATGCAAACTATGCAAATCAACAACAGCCACGTTCTTTACCTGCACCTTCAAGAACTTCACAAGCATCAGGAGGTCAACAAGGTTTCTTTGCACATTGTGTGACAGCAGCAGCTGAAGTCCATGACAGTGAGGTGGACTTGCTGTCAGGCATGATGACCTCATGCCAAGATGAAGCTGACTGCGTGGTCAACAATGGTGAGACGATCTTCGATGACATGAGTGCCCCTGTGAGGTACTCTTTGTCAAAGGAGATGCTCACAAAGGCTCCTGATGGCTTTGCGCTTATGAGCGCTGATGGCTTTGCGCTTATGAGCGCTGAGGAAGAAGTGAAGGAGATGCAGGCTATTTCATTTTTGACTGAGAATCGCTTCCCGCCAACTATTGCAATCCTGGACATTGGATGCACTAGAGCTATGGGATCAAGGCGAGCAGTCGACCATTTTTGCAACTATGTCGACAATCACCCAGATTGTGGATTATGGTACTCTTTTGAGTCTACCAAGAGCAAGTTTTACTTTGCCAATTCCCAGAAGGCTACTTGCTCTCAGAAACTGGTGATTTATATGTATGATCGTGCATGGACGATCCACCATACAGAGTTCGACATAGTGGAAGAAGGAGAAGTCCCTTTGCTTATGAGCTTGCCACAGATGAGGAACTTAGGCTTTGAACTCAGGCTGACACCTCAACATGCTTATCTGACATCGGTGCCTCTTGGTATCAAATTTTTGGAGTTGAAGGTTGCAGCCAGTACTCATCTTGTGTTGGACTTCCAAGATATTGCATGGTATCTGTCTGACGTGCGTTGGCAGACTCAGCGTGAGAAGAGTTTTTACTCTCACCTCACTCACTATGAATATGGCCATATTTCTGTTGAACACAATAGTGATGAAGGTGAAGCTGAGCATGCATATCCTGTGGTTGATTTCTGGGAAGTAGATGTTCACAAGAGAGAACTGATACGTCACCACAAGGATTACAGGAAAATTCTTTTCCCAGCAACTAAGTCCTGTCCTGTAGACACTGACTTGCTGGAAGACTTGCGACTGACAATCATCAAGAAGAAAGCAGGAGGAGAAGAAATCAAGA